CTGGAGGTATTTAAAAGACGTGTAGATGTGGCGCTTAGGGACGTGGTTTAGTGGTGGACTTGGCAGTGCTAGGTTAATGGTTGGACTTGATGATCTTAAAGGTCTTTTCCAACCTAAACAATTCTATGATTCCATGATTCGATAAATTCTGTTACATTAATATGATAAGGCAGATCACAACTGAGCTTGAGGAATGACTTCCAAGGGCATGGAAAGAAAAAAAAAAACCAAATAAACAACAAAAACCAAGTCCTTTTCTGTAAGTATCAGGAACAGGAGGCTTGCCACAGAGTGGGTAGGACCTGTGGACCATCAAGGTGTAAAAGGAACACTCAGAGAAAGCAAGAGCATAGGAGAAAAGACTACATTCCTGTTCTTGCATCTGTGTTCACAGTGCAACAACTTAGAGAAATCCAGAACTTTGCATTATGGGGAATTTAGGAGATCTATCTCAAACGTAAGTGCAGGGCAGAAAAGGTTAAAGAACAAACAGATAAAATAAGCAAGACATCATGGGGACCAAGTGGCCTCCATCCAGGAGTTCTAAGAGAACTCAGGTGTCAAAAAAACTGAAGTACTAACTGCAGTGTGTAACTCTAGTTTTAAAACCCCTTCCCCTGTTAACCAGGTGGGGAAGGCAAATGTGGAGACCCAGGCAACTACACATGAGTGAGCCCGTTGTATTGTCTATGCTGGGCAAATAAGTAGTATCTGTCCTACAGAGCAGAATCAATGGACACATATACAAATATAACATATTGAGGAAGACAACACAGCTTTTGTGACATTGTATCAAGTATTGCAGATCTATAATTCTTTGGTGATGTTAACATATATGTGGACAAGGGAGATCTCATGTTTAAGGGCTACTGGGATTTCCAGGGGCAAGGAAGTCCCTAGACAAAGCTTCATTTAAAAAAAAAAAGGCAAAAAAAAAAAAGCACCTTTAAGCAAGAGGAATGGATCAAAAAATGGCTAAATGACAGGAAACAGAAATAAAACAGAAATGAAAGGTCGGTTCTCATAGAAGAGGGAGATCACAAGAGGAGTCTGCAGGGACCTGTGCTGTGACTTGTGCTGCTTAATGTATTCATAAATGATCTGGAAAAAGAGGGTGAACAGTGAGATATCACAGATTGCTAATGATATTAAGCTATTCAGGTAAAGGAAAGTTAGAGGACAAATTGTGATGCAGTTAAAGGGCTGGCTATGAAGAACTGAAGAAATGAAGAAAGACCCTACAAGACTGAGTGACTGGATAATAAAATGGCAGATAAAATTTGATGTAGTTGTGTAAAGTAGTGTGCATGGGAAAAAAAAATTATATATACAGTGATGATGGGCTGTAAGCTGGTTTTCCACTCACAGATGAGATCTTTGTGTTCTGATGAATATTTCTATGAAAATATCAGCACAATGTTCCCTTTTTTTACTCAGAAAAACAAATCAAATATTTGGAATTACTAAGAGTGAAACAGAGAACATTGTAATACACCCACCCCAGTATCAATCCATAGTTCTCTGTATATTGAGTAGTATGTACAGTTCTTTTCTTCACATCTCAAAAAGGGCATAATAGAACTGGAAATGATTCAGAAAAGGTTTGACAAGGATAACCAAAGAAACAGAATGGTTCTGTATGAGGTATACCTGCGGGCTCTTAACTCTGAAAAACAGATGACTGAGGGGAGATATGACAGAGGTCTACAAAATCACCAGTGGCAGAGAAAAGATGAAGATGGAGGCGCTGTTTCTGTCTTTTTCTGATATGAGTACTAAGAATATTAATGAAGCTGGTAGGAGGCATGTTCAAAACAAAAAGATGGGTTCTCTACATGATTTTAAGCTGTGGAAATCTTTGCTGCAAGATATTGTAAGATGCTGCAAGATGCTGAAGGTTTGGGAGGTAAACCCAACCAAACAGATTAACAGAAGAAAAGTCCATTAAATAGAAGGGCTGTTAAATAAGAAAACATCACCCACCGCCCACACTGCAGAAGCCTCCAAATCACAGATTACTGGACACTGGGAGTGCCTGGGGACAACATGCTTACCTTGTTCATAAGCTCTTCCTTGGGCATCCTCTATTGACGGCTGCTGGAAACCAGATACCAAACTAGATGAGTGTTAAGTTCCCAATGCAGCAGTTCTTCATGCAAATACTATAGGAAAGAGAAGATTAAGAGGCCATGAGGTTTACCATTATGACACGATTCAGAGTCATGAAAGGTTAGGAGAAAGACCAATGACTCCAGGAAGAAAAAATCTTAATCCATATAGCTAGAAAATAGTGTTAAAACCAGTTAAGCAGTGAAGTAGGTCACCCGTGTGTAAATGCCTAACACCAGCCCTCTGCAGGGAAGCCATGCTGGTGTCTGAGGGTTCTGCTGGTGATCACTGAGACAGCTGCTAGCTACACAGGCGTATCACTGAGCAGAGGGAGAGAATGAACTTAGAAAGCAAGAAAAGAAAGGAAGAGCACATGGTGGAAGAAAGGCTACCTCCTTGTAGGAGAAGAGGCCACCTCAAAACCCTTCTCCAAAAAGAAAAGGAAAATCTCCATGAATTGTCCAAAACGTTTTGTTTTTTCAGGTGGCCACTGCCGTTGTGAGAAACAGAAAAGACACAAGTGCAAATGTGGGAGGTAGTAATGCAAGAGGGAGCATTACTACCAGAGAAGAAAAGGTAATTTCCTCCCTTTGTGTTTGTATACTCAGAACTTCTCTCCTTTTAGATGTATGGTAGAACGTGGCATAATACTTCAATGCAGCTTGAATTAAAACCTTTTGATTCATTTGCATAAAGGTAACCTGAAAACAGACTGTATCAAAGATGCTCATCTTACCTCAGCTGTTTGCACATTCACCAGATTATAATGCTTGCTGTGTTGAACTGTATTAGCTAAGGGTGTAGTTGAGCACCCTTTCTAATCTCCCTTTTTCATAATTTAAAAAATCCTTTTGCACTCGAGCTTTGTGTGCTTTGTTTCAACTCAAGAGTTTTTGGGAAACTTAAGCAAAATCAGTTATTTTTTACTTACATAGCATGAAGGAAAATACATTTTCCGTTAGTCGCCAGTTGAGATGTCACACAATCATAATGCAGAAGATGAAAGTTGGCTTGTGGGGCCATTAAGGAAAGGAAAGCAACCTAAGTCTGAAGAAAATCAAATCATTATTTTGATGCTGCAAATATTTAAAACTGAAATATCTATATTTGTGCAGTAAAAGACACTATTCAATCTAGGTGATATACAGCTAAAATTGTTTATAGTGCTATACGAATATCAAGCCGCTGTAGTACTGACTACTCTCGTCACAAAGTTACCTTACACCCTTAGTAATGGCCTTAAAGGATTATTTGGTTCTAACTGTTCATAAACTGGTCTATTGCCATTGACATTTCTGCTGCAAGTGCTGTGCCATTTTGGAGGCGGTAGGTCCAGGCCCCCATGTCTCTCCTATCCAAGTAGGGGACTGGAAAGGTGACAGTATTTAGAAGATTAGGCAGCTGGGAAGGCCTGACAGCTCCATCAGTAGTATGTAAGCTCTAGAACTTAAGTGTGGTCTGTGTACCACAGGTTTGTAAAATCTGTGTCAGACAACAAACCTTGACACTTGACTAGGAATATGATTAATTTATGAGGAGCTTAATTTTATTTAAAGGAATGTGTTTATTCTTCCTAGAACCGTAAAATGAAACATGTAAAAGAAGATGTACTTCGGGAGTCATATCAAAACCATAAGGTGCTTCTGTCGGCTCTGAAAAAGCAGTGATTTAACACCTTTTCTCTCAGAACTGACTGTGGCAAAGTCACTGACAGAATTTCATGATACAACTGGAAGCTGTTGCAGAAAGCCCTGTTTTCTGTAGTTTATGATACTCTGTTGGGAAAAAGAACAAATAATGCTTGGAAAAATTCCCTAATTCAGAAGTAACTTTTAAGCAATTTTTTTTTCTTCTGTGGAACACAGACAGCAACACTTGTCTGTTGTCTGTAAAAAAAATTTGTATATTGTCTCTTTGGCTAAGAAGTAGATGATGCTTAGGGCCATCTGGGGTTTGGGTAAAAATTAATGACACAGAGCTGGGATATTTACCATCATTTATTATACACTGACGTCACTGCCCTGAAAAGCAACATGAAAAGGACAAGAAAAAGTTCTTTCGTGTGAAAATCTAAGCTAGAAATATTTTTGCTGCTGTTGTCAGCCTTTTAAACTTGCATTTGGTTTGCAGTTGCTTATATATTTCCCAAACCGAAATATTACCTTTTCCAAAATAACCCCAGACTCTCCCTATTCCTTCCCCCTTTAAGAAAAAAAAAGGGCAAAAAAGAAAAAAATCAGCCTGAAGCAACACCCAGGACAGAAAACTTCTTCCAAGTAGTTAAAGCTTGGCAAGCCTATAAACAATGGAAAACAAACAAACAAACAAACAAGGATTAGTTGGATGTTTGCCTCAGCCTGAGTGTTCTGGACACACACACACACACACACAAAAAAAACCCCAAACCACCCCAAAACCCAAAAAACAAGGCCAGAAAGGTTTCAGCTGTTTCTCAGAATGAAGTTAGGAGGAAATACGTTATTTTAAATTTCTGTAAAACCCTTAGACTTTTAATTGAAAACTCAGTCCTCTGGAACCAGGATTTAATAATCAATATAGGTGCTGCCCTGGTGTCAGAGAGAGTTTTTCTGTTCCTTTCAGATTTACACCACATCTAATATTACGAGTGTTCAAGGCTCTGACCACCATGCATGCAAGTACAGCATGTCCAAGATGCCCGATGTATTCCACATGTGTAGAATATGGCTCTGCATCACACATACAAGAGAGTCTGGTCTCAGCGACGACAAGCCACGTACATAAATTGATTATATTCAGTCTCAGGCTTATTTGGGACCTATTTGAAACAGGGACTTGGTTCTTACCCCAGGGCTTAGGAAGACAACCCTTCTTATTATCCTCCCCAAGCAAAATTATGAATGTCTAAAGAATCACAGTAGCCCATCCACAGTAGAAACTTTGCTAAATTCCCCAAAGTTCCTGCTTCTCCAAATAATACAGCAGTGGGCTAACTGAAGTTGCTTGTTCCAGCATGTGGTGGCATCTGAGCCTGGGCACTCGTACTTACAGCTGGGAGAGTGTCTCTTCTGTCTCTTCAGCGCTGCTGAGGTGCAGAGGAACCAAACATCTCACCGAATGTGAGGGGACAAGGAGCAGGGTTACTGTCAGTGAGGGGGTAGCTACAAATGGGGGAAAAAAAGATCTCTGGGGTATAGGAGATGATAGAGTCAGATGGTACAGACAGGAGTTTCAGCCTCAGCAAAAGACGTGTCTCTAAGACTAGCCTTGGGCCTCAGGCTTCTTTTGATAAATATTGCTCTTGCTGTGCTTTCTTGGGTTAGTACTATCACCCTTGCTTTACACCTTAGATACATCCTATGATGTTTTGTAGTATTAGGACTCTGCCTAATTTCATAAAAAGTTAATAACTTCCCATAGCACAACTCAAATACGACATCTTATTTCATCTAGTTGAGCATTTGATCAGTGTAGCTGGCTTTTCAATGTATTGGGGAGGTACGTGCTCTGTTCAGTGGCCGCTGGCATTAACCTAGCAATTAAGAGTAGTATTTAGAGTAGTTAAGTACCAGGAAGGGAGAGTTAGTAATTATGAAACAGAAGAGCTAAGTAACACAGTGTTCTGTACTCTGTTTCATGTAGGAAAGAAAACTGCACGCTCTGTCCATTCTTGATTACCTGTGTAGATTTGAGCACTCTTTTTTTATTAGTCTCCCATGTATATAATTGGCACTGTGTAATTAGTATTTTATTAAATGAATATAGTCTAGTTCTTCAGAAAATGTATTAATTCAGACTTACAGGTGTCAAATATGGGATTTACATTCGATACTGGTACACCTAGAATAGACTTAAAAAGTCAGCGTAGGTATGTTACACTGATTTTTTATATACTTATACTACTACAGACGCATCTTGGCTACCGAAAAGATAGGGTTGTGTTAAAAAAAAAAGCTTAAAATTAACGTTTGGGATTTTCTCTGAAGTTAGTGGGATTTTGATACGAGCGTTCACAATTCAGCTTTGAGGCACTTTGAATTTTCTATATGCTTTTCATTTAGCTTTGTTATAATTTTTAACCGGAAGTCTTCAAAATTATGTTCTGCCTGAAATTTGGCTACAGTAGTCCGATTTCACACACCTGAGGTAATATCTTTAAAAAACTCCTCTGTCAATACATACAAAATTCAGCTGAGGCTTATTGTGATAAGACCTGCTATGACATACAGGTTGGAAGGGTGAAAAAAATGGGTTTGAAGTAATTTTTCAGCTTTTGTTTTTCATAACTGAGTGTTATATACCAAGAGATAAACTTTATGTGCTGTGAGCATAACTGTTATGTGCTCTGCTTATAAACTTGATGATGTGTGCACTCATAAGCATGATAGTCTGTGCGTTCATAAACTTGATGGGCCCTACACATAAAAATATTAGCTATCTGGAGTTATGTTAATTTTATTCTCCAGAAGGGAAAGAATTTATGGGCAATGCACTTAACAGAGAACAGAGAAGCGGTTTTGTGCAACCACTGGCATAGTGAGTTTCACGCGCAGCTGCTGCTGAATGAAATCTTTCACATCTCTACAGACTTGCCACCTTTACCCAGTCCATTCTACAATTTAAAGAATGACAGATTTCTTGTGAATGACAGATTTCTCGTGAAACAGTTTAAAGTACTATTTATGAAATACCACCAATGCAAATGCACAAAACCCAGCAACAAATGAAACGGCAGTAGAAGTCCTTTTCCTCCTCCACTCACAATCAGGTTTCACAGCACTTAACGCAAACAACATACCTCATCTTCAATTATGCTACCAATGCTTGCCAGTATTCCGTCATCCCCAACAAAAAACAGTTTTTTCCATACATCTTATAACTGTATCCACCTTCCAAGTTAGTACTGGTGCAGATAAAGGTGAGCCGAAGGAGGTCTATACTATTGACATGGACATAACAGAAGTAATGTGATTGCCAGTGGTGGTGGATAAAG